AAAGGCGTTAGAAACTCCAATATACCCGATTTTAAAAAATCATTATTTTTTAAATTTTTGTCATCCATATTGGATCAGCCATTTTGAATTTTGAAAAAATAATTTCAAATTCATAATCCGCGGCCCAAGAAACCCCTACGTACCAAGTTTCATAAAAAACCATTAATTTTTTAAAAAATGTCCGCCGTCTTGAATTTAGAAAATCTACCTTCAGATTCGTAATCAGCGAACCCAAAAACTTCTAAGTAACAAGTTTCATGCAAATCCATCAAACTTTTAAAAAATTTCTAAAAATTCACAAATTTTCGAAAAATTTGTTCGCCATATTGGATCCGCCATTTTGAATTTTAAAAATCTAACTTCAGATTCGTAATCAGCGACCCCAAATTACCCTAGATACCAAGTTTTATGTAAATCCATCAATTTAAAAAAAATTTCGTATACCTCCAGATTCGCCATGTTTTTTGAGGTTAGAAAAAAATCCTGACGTGATGGAGCAAAACGGACATCAGATTCGTGTTCAGCGGCTCAAAATACATGGGGGTAGGGTACTCTGATCCTTGAACCCCAACACTTTTTTTTTGTGGGGCTGTGTTATCTAAGGTCGATGGTGTGTTAAGAAACAAGAGTGGTAATTATATCGCCAGAAATTATAAACCAAAATTTCATAAGTTTATTTTAGTAAAGTAAAAACATAAGTAAAATTATTCTTTTTTTTCATAGAACATACGTTGTGATTGTGAAACTCCCGACACTCTTGTCCTCGTCCTTGCAATTCTTTCTGGGCTAGCAACCGCATTGGGATCCGGAGATTTACTAGGACGAGCTGATTTAATATGGAACAATATAATATTCATTACAATATGCATCGATAAAGAGTTTTTCATGCTCATTTTTATGTAATTTCGTGGTGAAGTTAACAATGTATTACTTACGAAGTGCTGCTTTCTGTCTGTTCATATTCGCGTACATCAGCCTCGCTTTCGCCCGCTGAGCAGCTTGCAAATCAATCGCGCTGGTAGATCGAACTCCTGGTGTACCTCGATCTGCAGAAATAGAAGGAAAATTAACTCTGCGACGTATCAGCATCACGTAACTTCTACTTTACAACTTCTGTGCAAGATTGAAAAGAAAGAAAATCAACATAAGACAACACAGTTCCGTTTGTGCATTCTTCTTTGTAGTGTGACGTAACGTGGTGTACAAAGTGCGATCTATTTCTGAAGCAAATGGCGATAGAACAATTACAGTGACTGTCTGTTGGTCTTTGTAGTATCGGGATACCAGATTGACGATAAGACCGAGGCAAGGACGGAGTACGTCTGAGCGGACCGTGCGGTTGGCCCGTGGTCTGATGCAAATTTTCCGTACTACCTTCATATGTTTAATGTAAAGAAGAGAAGTCGCAAAGCAGCATGAAAACAGAGTGACAAGTCCTTTATATTATGATCGCAGCACGAGTAACATCAATATATTCTCAATCGCAACGTAATCCGTTTTAATGGAGCGAGGCATCGAGGTAACAAAACTAAGCGGTGAGTCTTTACCTGCTGCGCTCATCACGGGTCTGGCTGTACGCGGACTAACGCTCGACGATCTCGCATTAGCCACGATATTTAAGCTGTTACTACTGCCGCTATTGCTGAGAGACATCAAGGAGCGTTTGTACGACGCATCCAAGTTATTAAGTAGTATCTCAGCCTGCTCTGGAAAGTGATTTTTAAATGCCCAGTATGATCTATAAAAAAGCAACAAATGAAAATTAATAACGTTATGAAACTGGTCCCGTCGTGAACTTATCCGGCCGCAAAGGACTCTACTCACTTCCTGGCGAAGACTCGCGCTTCCGCGTCGGAATCCGCGATGCCCTTCTTGAGCGCGTCCGACAATATTGTTATGTGCTTCTGCAATATCTGCGTAGGCCAGGTCTGCAGGATTAGAGTCAGATATTCCCAGGACGCCCTGCGAATGTCTTTGCTCTTGTTGCTCACGCATGATATAATAATAGGCACATATCGACTGCAGTGGGTATTTTGAAGGATAAACCGAACTGCCACCGCACCGGCTGACGCCACGACCTAGTTACCATGAAAATGGCAAGAGTAATTAAATTCTTACCTTCTATGGAGATTACGTAAAAACTAAATGGACGCGCGAACGTCGTAAAATTCTACGAGGTACAAACGTTCGCGGTAAAGACACGTAATTAGACAGCGAATGCAGCGATTTGGACAATAATGGGATCTAAATGTAGCAGGGATCTAGCATTCCGTGAGACTTGCCTTGGCACTGTTCTGTATGAGGTTCATTAACGTGAGCAAAACCGCCTCGCCAAAACTGGCGAATTTGGTCTTCAGGCTCTGACTCAGAAAAGCGAGCGTTATACACGCCTCTCGCGCTACTTGGGATCTAAGGTCGGTGCAGGCCTGCTCGAACGGTCGCTGTACGTTCTTTAGGCACTCGTGGAAATTTTCGTAATTAGTGCCACCTGCGAGTACAATGGCTCTTAACTTTCTCATCTGAAAGAAAAGCACAGAGACGGGTAAAAAAAATCGTCAGGCTACGAGGGAAGGCGATCTCGTTTTCTCGCAACACATACGCTATCCATTCTCTGTTTCCAGTCCTTTTTGTCGTCACCCACGGTATCCTTGATAACCTTCATCTGTTCTTCGAGGTCCTTCGCCGAGAATAGATTGACGGTAGGCACGTCCTCGAAAGAGGTAATAAAGCTCTCTTCGTCGACGGCTCCGGCTTGCGCTGGACAGGCAACGACAGTTCTCTTTATACTCGCCCCAATGCGAATACGCACTTGTGCGTCCAAGAATAACAATTGTTGTTTCTAAGAACTATACTTTTCATGCTTTACACTTTCTGAATTATGATGCTGCTGCTAAAAGATAAGTTACAGACTGCCGTGAATAGTGCACAAGCGATCGCGAGATGCGTTACAGGCTAACAAAAATGATGACTGCGCGTGACAATAAGTAAGCACCGTGTGTAGTTACGTGTCAAGTTACAGATGAGAAGCGTATGGCTGATCAAAGAAGCAATAACGCGCGGGGCATTCGTTATCCTAATTGGGGAGAAATCGGTTTATTACACGAACTCCATGTTACAAAATGAATTTATTCGCATCTAGGATTCTGAATTGCATCGACAGCGCGATTATCTTATCTTTCTTTTTCTCGATCGGAAATGTCTTCGGACTCTTTTCAAAGTATTCTCTAGATATTTTCTAGTAATTGCCAATAGTAGAATTTGGATATACCTGGTGTCGATCTTACGGACAGTGCTCTTTTGACGGTCGCTGCCCTTGGGACCGTGTACGCTGAGAGACCAGGAGGAGCTGTTTCATGCAAGTGAACAGTTAGCGTCATCCTCGTCATCGAAACGTCAACATACGTTGACCTTTTGCTGGCGAGTCTCTCTGACAATGTATTGTTAACGAAATGCAGATGTGAGGCCGCGGTTGCGGTTAAAACTAAGCGTAAGGATTACGGCATCCCATGTGCGTCCCGTTTGACGAGGGCCCGGCGCTTCCGTGACACTCGGTCAACACCGTGTCATGATACATACATTTCGGATGGAACACGGTGACACATTTCAGATAAAGATACACGAGATAATTGCTCACATAAAAAGCTCTTTGATTGGTGCGACACAAGCAGAAATACTACGTATGTATCATCGTTTCCGATTGAAAGGTGTTTAATATCGACATTCTAGCCCAACACGAGTACGTCTAACGAAAATGTTTATAGATACAAAATAACTCGTTCCACGAATATTTAACACATATTCCTACTTGCAATTTTCACATCAACAGCTACCAACGAAAAGTGATTTTAGAGAAACTGCTTCACGGTTACTCTACTCTTGCTATATATACATATACACATCATGCTTTAAAAAAATGAATAAATAAAGTCAGATTGACGATAAGTCGCGATAGCAATCGAGATGAGTCGTGTGAAATGATTCGGTAATATTGGGATATACCTAAGGCAGAGGCTGGTGTTTTAGCGGGCCCAAATTGACCTCTTTTCGGCGGCATGTTCAGCCTCTTAACGGGAGCCGATCTGATCTGCAATAGACATTTTTTTTCTCTCAAGACGTTATTTCTATTTATAAACATGCAACGAGGCTGTCTAGGCACTTTCGGATTCTACACTTACCGCTCTGTCGGTTTCGTCGCTGTCTTTGCCAACTGAAACAAAAGAGAAAGAAACTCGTCAGAATCGTGACTCGCGCGTCCTTCCTCGCCGCGCGTCTCCGAAAATAAATTACACGAATTTAGGAATTAGACTTCTCGAAGGAAAGAAAGAAGTCGAATTAAAGACACAGTATTGAGTCTCGCAAGCAATGCGGCTTTCAGAGATACTTTTGAAATCAAACGAAACGTCTCACATTTTAATTGTAAAAATTAATTTTCCATTATTTCCAATTTCCTTTTATAATCTTAAATTTTCAAATCCGCGGTGGATAAAAGTTAGAGCTGAAAAATACGTCAAACTCCCTTCACAGCGCATTGTTTACGAACCGACCGTAATCCAGACGGAAAATAACGTTTCATTCCACAATTTAAACTCAGTCGATATCATCCGATTTCTAAAGTGGCACTTGCAGGTTTTTAACGGGCGAAAATTACTGGCATACAAATATCGCAAGTTAATATTATAATACAACCGCTTCACGTCACGACGGCAGAATTAATTCATATACCTAGATCTGGGTAGAGCCAGGGCGGCTTGTGGACGTCGCAGTGACATCCTCTCGCCCTCGCACCCGGGTGCTTCACTATATTATCCCATTGCAGTATCCACCTGCTGCTCGCGTCCCACAATTTCTTATCGATACTGGGATACTTCTTTAATCCCCGATGCGGGCAACGGTGCCCGCTCGGTATTAGCACGTCGGCGTCGTCCATCGCGACGATGATGGCTTAGCGAGCGCGGCAAGGATAAATTCCTCCACATGTCGCGGGAGAGTTATAACGACATTGACATTTCGCCAGCGTCATCGTCGTCTTAATAAACCAGTTGCGAGCGAACCTTTTTTCGCTTCTATCCTCGCGCTATATAATAACCTCCTTTTTTTTCCCCTCTCTCAGTGGATGCTGTAAATGTCGGAATAATATCGTCGCGACCGAACTGCTGGTTTGGTCGAAACGAAATTCAATAATGCTAAAATAAACTCGTTATTTCCAAAGAGTCTGTCAAAGGAGAAGGATATCGTCCATAAATAATCCTTTTTTTTAAATCTTTAATCGGTATGGAAGATAAATGATCAATCGTAAGAGGGAATTCTTAGATGCCGCGACATTTTTTTCCGAGGATGCGATAAAGAGCCCGTTTATCGCGCGCAATTAGCGGCGTTATCTGAGCTGTCACGTGCCGAGAGCGAGCGCCTAAGTTCGCAATTTGTCTTTCGATTCGTCGAGGAATTCCCGCGAACGAACGTCGGAACTCACGAAAGTGTGCAAAAGCCTCGCGGGGAAACTCGCGGTACGTGCGCGCAGTGAAAGTAAAATCTTCAGCCGTTTTTCTTTTCCCGCGCGAGCCGCCGCGCGTCGAATTAATTTCCACCGTCCTAATTGAGTTCCCGCGCGCCGTGCTTTATTAATTTGCGCGAGTCACTCATTAAATCGTCTAATCGCGCGCGTCGGACTCAACGAGGATTACTCGGACGCCCGATTTCGTCTCGCGCGGACCCATTCGTAACATTCGTAATGGAAGACACCGCGCTTCGCCCCCGAGTCGAATATCTCGGCTTCGGTCTGGCCTCGTACAATTTTTTTGAATTGGGAGCAATGAGGTCGAACTGAGGTCTTCGCGTCGGAGAAAATGTATTCAACTTTTGACCTCGGATAGGCCTGAAAAGAGCCGCTATTTCCCTTTTAAGCCCGACGCTACAACGCACAGAAAAAATTTCCGGATCCAATTTCTGTTGCTGAGACAGAAAATATTCTCGACGCATTTCTCACCTCGTTTAGTATAAAAGTAAGGTAACATCAAAATAAAATTGACAATTCTTATTCTTCTCTGTCAAATGAAAAAACATCAACTTACTATATTGAGACAAGAGCAACTTATATAAATGTAAGTTTAGAATAAATTTTCCCCCCCCATCTTACAACGCGCGAAGCTGGCACCGCGATACTCGACAAAAGACGACACGTACTATCGTTTTATTTCAGAGTTTAGAATTTTTCATTTAAGATCAAAGTATTCCTTTCTCTATAACAAATACGATTGGCGCTATATCGATCCTAGTTTGTGATACATTCAAGTGTAATAGCATTGGATCCGGAATTTTTTTTTCTGTGGGTCCAAACGAAGACGGAATAGAATAATCGAGGCCCGCTCCGGGACCGAATACTCGACTCGGGCGCCGAGCGTTAAATTTCTAATAGCGCTATCTTAACGGTTATAATTAGCGTCGTTAATTTTAAACAAGCGTATGCGAAATTACGGCTTGCCGATCAAATTTACATAGAACGCCAATTAATTGTCTTCCTTCCCGCTTTCTCCGATATTGCGGCAATTCCCTAATCGTGCGACTTTTTCAGGGAAGAATCCAGCCGATAGGGATCGCGGGACTCGGCGTCGTCGTAAGATCAAGCGACATCGCTTAATAAAGCAGCCCGGGAAAAATTATTGGAATTATTGTGACGCAAACTGGCAATTTGTGGCAAACGGCGAGAGTAAGCGGCAGTTAGATCACTACGATCCACGTCTCTATCTCTCTCTCTCTCTCTCTCCTCGTCGGATTTCAAAATTGCCGGCGTAACAGTTCTTAACGTTGGCTCCTGCCTTTCTCGCGGGCATCGTATTATCCACCTCCCGAGCATTCTTGCGGTCGTACGCATGCACGCGCATTAAAATCTTCGTAATATCCAGCCGCGTCCACCGCGGTAGAGGATTCCTTCTTCACCCGCGAGGCGGATTCTCAGGAGTTTGCTCCGCGTTACTCGAGCCCCACTCGCGTCTCTAAACCGCTAATGAGCCTCTCCGCGTTACCACACAATCCAAGAATCGGCGAGCGTAATCGTCGCAGTTGGATTTTTAATAAATGAACGGTGTCACGCTCCAGCTCCTCGAAATTTACGTCTCGCGCCGGGCGTATGGCGCCCGTTTAAAAGTTACCGTCGACACGTCGTCGAGAGATATCGTTAATCGAAGGCGATAACGAACCCGCCACGGGGCGAAACTCGCCGCGGAAAACCAGTTCAATGTTCCCCCCCGATAACTAACGAATTCGCATACCTGACGGCATTACTGACGCCGATCGATAGTCCAATAACAATGCGGGCTGTTATTACACGCGTCGCTAATAATAACGCCGGCCGGAATCGAGAATGCGCCGATAAGCAGCCGCCGATTCAGCGATCGCGACCCATTTATCAGTATCTCCGATACCGGCTGTTCTCCGGTAACAATGAACGCGCGTTCACACGCGCGCCGTAACAGGATCGGTTCGCGAGGAAACCCATTTTCTCACGTTACAGATAGCATCGTCTCGCGCGCGCGCACCTTTTCCTCCCGCGTCCCGCCGGTTTCATTGAGAAACGCCGCTCGGGGCCCGCGACTCGCGTCGGGAAGCTCCGGTGCCGCGGACGTTTGCACGCCCCGGCAATCTGCTCGCGAGTAAACTCGAACGGGGAACACGAAAGGCGGAAGGAAACAAGGCCGAATCGATTCCGACGTATCTGAGAACTGTTATCGCGGCGACGAGGAGAGTCTCGCGGAGCGAGACGAGCCAAACCGAAGCGACGCGATAACGCATCGCAGGCTCCCGCTCGCGGGTGAAACGCGCTCCGATTTTACGCGGAGAGAAACACAAACCGTGTACGCGCGCGCACGTTTTCGAGCGAGGATCACGCCAGCGAGATCCGCGTTGGATTACGGGCAACAACTTTCAGCCCGGCCGTGCCTCCGCTCGATTTATCTCGGGACTTGTCCATTATTACGGATTTACGTTCTTTTCTCTCGGGAAGAGGAGGACCGATCTCGTTCGGCTCGCATGGGTCCCATAGAACTTGTACACGTGGAAGGGGAATAGCATATACTTTCCGCAAGCTGAAACTGTGTCCAACATCTGTGTGCACTGAGAGACCAATTTTGTCGAATGAAACAAAATAATTTGATTGAATCATTGTACGTTGACTGAACATACAACTTGGTTGTATAAAACAACAAATATGTTGCTGAGAAGAAGTTAAATTACAACTAAATATTTTGTTTCCACGAGTTGTTTAGCTGAACTAAATTGTATGGTTGAGATAACAAATTTGTTCGTCTCGAAGTACGGTATTCCGCCACTAGATGGCCGCCGAACTCGCGAGCGAGATCACGATAGCCCGGCATATAAAGTACCCCGTCACGGGCCGGGACGGTTCTTTCGGGACAATCGGAGAATAAGCGAAACTGCACCGAGACCCATTTTGTTGAATAAAACGAAATAATTTGATTGAATCATTTTGTTGAATATTACAAAAGGATTCTGCGAATGTTCACTCAACACCAAATTTGTGTGTTGATATAACAAAATTTTCAAGCTAAATTTTGTTTATTTCAACAAAATGCGTCTCCCAGTGTGACAAGGGGTTTGTTTTCTGTTCCTGCACTAGTGAACTAGTGCAGTAAGCTAGAATGAGAAAAAATATGCTTGTCTTACTCCAATTTATTGCACTAGTTCACTAGTGTAGGAACAGAAAACAAGCCTAATGATAGATAGAATATGACTTTGGTTCGTTATGCGCATGCGTTAAGGGGATGCTGGAGTGATTCTGCACTTTTGCACCTTTCTAACCTAGAAACCATCAGTTCGCGGAAACACTTGTGTAATATACAAATTAAATGACTTGCGTGTACAGATCGAAAGCAGCTTGCTATTCCGGCTAAATGAAAGAACAATATGGCACCACTGAAACTAAGTTTCTAAGTCTAATAAGAAATAATAGTGAGCAACACACGCATACAGTACATGTGGTGTATGTGTGTTGCTCACTATAAATTTTTATTAGAATTACAAATTTAGTTTCAGTGATATTGTTCTTTAATTTAACCGGAATAGCGTGAGCCATTTAATTTGTATATTACACAAATGTTTCCACGAAACAGACAGTTTTAAGTGCAAAAGGTGCAAAAGTGCAGAAGCACTCCAGCATCCCCTTAAATCGTACGCAAACGAAAATGCACAATATAC